TTCACCTAAGATAACTGTTTGTTGTGGGTTCACAGCGGAATTTATCGTAGGTTCATTCTTCTATGAAAACATTACCCCAACAAGATCGAAAACCTGTTCTGTCACCGGAGAGAAATATTGCCACATGTTGAACAGCTTTGTCATTCCAGCACTTCAGCAAAGACAATGCTTGGGGGGAAATCAATTTCATGCAAGATGGAGCCCCTCCACACGATGCTGTACGGGTGCAACAGATGCTACGACAGAAATTCACAACAGAAAGAGTCATTAGCTGCTACTTTCCAACTGCATGGCCACCTCGGTCGCCTGATCTTACCCCATGCGACTTCTGGCTATGGGGTTACCTTAAGTCCAAGATCTATCAAGGAGTGGTCCAGGACCTGGGTACGTTAAAGGATAACATATCACGGACTGTACGGGAGATTCCTGCAGACATGTTACTTTCTGCTGTTGTCCATACTGTGCACAGAATGCAATATGTGGTCCACAACAACGGCAGCCACATTGAACCTCATTTGAATGCAAAATAAAAGGTAATTTCCGTATTGATTTGCATTTGTTAACACTCTATTTTCTATTACACAGCGCCAAATATTCCCCTAGCGGTGACTTTTGGAGCTAATTTTTTTTTCGTGGAATCCTTCGTCCTCCGTCTTGTTTAAGCTTCCTACAAAATGTGGCATCATTCTAGCAAATAGATTGCACTACAGAACACTGTGAACACTGTCAGTTTAATTATGGCCACCCGGTACATTTACAAACATCCATGTCTCTTCCCGGATTCGAACCTGAGCCCTTCGCAGCAGTCAGCAACGCTAACCATTATACTGGTTGTGCGGCTTTTAATAACATAAATGTTATAAATGTTCACTAAATATCTTTAAGTGTGGGTTTTAACAAAGCACAAAATGTTTGCATATTTAGACAAAAGTTACACTTTATTTTTTGTTTTTGGTTTTTTAATTAATTATTTTCAATATTGTTACTACATAAAAGCGCTTCCTAGACATTTGCACGACTTTCAACTTCAAAACATTTGCCTTTTTTTCCTTGGCTAGTGTTCTATCGTCCTAACGGAAGTAACAGAAAATAGTTGAATTTCTGTAAAGAGACAAACGGATTATTCTGCTTAATTTGTTTACTCTATTCCAACGACTTTAACGAAAGTATTTTTGTTAATGGAGGAATGAGACCACATAATAGAATGCATGAATGAATATGAAGCAAGTAAAATTAATAATAAATGCATAGAAGCACATATTATGAATGTAAAGGACATGTATATTTCTTTGTTCTCAGAAACACTGACAATTTGTCGAAAAAATGCAATAGAACAAAGGCAAGTGTTGGAAGTAATTCTTAATATTCAGTTTATCTAAAGAGAATATGTTTTACGAAGTCATAGGAATGAAAATGTGTGAAGCTAACATATGTTAATGTAGATCACGAAAATTTCCTGGAAATGATACTATTGCTTTCAAAATACAAACCTGTTATTCATAGACATATCAATGTTATAATGAAACATGCTGATCATCAACACAGAGGGAGTAACATAACATTGTTATCTAAAATGACTATAGGTTATATCATAACTAGCATCAAGAATGTCATGAGACGGTTAATGTTAGTTGAGATTCAAGAAGTGAATTTTTACTCACTTCAAATTGGTACTGCTACTGATATAAATTAAATGGACCAATGTTCAATTGTTATTAGATATCTTTATACATAAATATTTGCAGACTAAAGGATTAGATTACATCTTAGCATATAATATGGTTATGGAGGCTACAGGCTATTTAAAAGCCATTTCTAGAAACTTTGATTTAATATTTAACACACCAAAATTGTTTGCAACGGACTGCAATAAAAAACTAGAAAAGCTGGGTTATAATTATAGAAGAACTACCTGCTAGAAGATACCAAAAAGTGAAGCAAATGGACGGCGAAAAATCATCGGACTATTATTTCAATTGCTCTATCAAACAATTTGAAGTTATTGTCTGTAATTTTATAATAGGTTTAAAATTAATAGGTTAATTTTATAATAGTTTCCATTTCATCAATAGAATTGTACCTGTTTGAAGACATAATTTCTTCTCGATTTGGAAAACATATCGAAGCCATTGTCGCCAAACTCTTTTGACTATTTATCTGTGTTATTAGGGCCCTATGCAGGTATAACATTTAATAATCTTAAAGATGAATATAACCTAGTAAATAAATGGGAAATACTAAAAAATTCAATTGAAAATCATTATTTTGAATCTGACAATGAGTCAGAAGGAGAGTGTGCTCTAGCTATTAATGAATATTCATCGAAAGCTAAGTTCAGTTTTTGCATAAAATTGCATCTTGAGTGTATCTAAATTACATCTTGAAATATAATTTATATAGTAATGCTTACACCAGTGTCTTTTTTTGGTTATAAGTTTGTTCTCGCTCTATCTATAATGCAAGTTGAATGCAAAAGAGCTTTTTTAAAAATTAAAAATTGTTAGATTAAGGAATATTATGAAGCAAGCTAATTTGGAGTCATTGCTATTGATGAACATAGAGAAGGAAATTTTGGCGAAAGCGAAAATTGAAGATATAATTGAGGAAGTAGTTTTCCAGGTGCCGGGAATTTAAAAAAAAAAAAAAAAAAAAAAAAAAATTAAATGGCTAATTATGAATCAACCACTGTTTTGTTCATATAATTATTTAGTCATTGTTAATTGTTGTTTGTTTGCATATATATATGAATAAAGTAGTACTTTTCTGCAAAGGTATATTTTTGTTTTATAAAATTATTTTTTATAATAATGATGATAACTTATACGTATAACATTTCATATGCGGCTTTAGGGCTAGCATATTTTTTCTTGTGAGAACCAATTTCTTTGGCCAGTCCGCCACTGAATATAATGAATAATTCAACTATTTTGAACTTTATGACATGTGGTACACCTGCAAGGTGTACCACATGTCCTTGTTCTACTCTCAATCTACCTTGTTCTACTCTCAATCCTTTGACAGCTGATGATTTACCAAACCACATGCCTTCTTATCTGATAAGTAAAGAGCCCTGCAGACAATGCACTGTTTGTTGTTGGGAAAGAAAGAAGGCAAAAAATCCCATAGCTGGGGGGGGGGGGAATATGAATCTGATCCAAAGAATGTGAAGTAGGACTTTGCCCTTGTTTCGAAATTTACCACACTAAATTTAATTTCTAGTGACATTTGTGTAAATATTGAGTATTTTTATTAGTATATAAACTTTATGTTCCATGAAATAAATTGTTATTTAATCAAGATTTATTTTTATAATATTTGTCTTTATAATTACTCTTAAATTTTTGTTTTATGAATGATTGTTCTTGAGCATGTAATCTTTATTAAAAAAACTTTGGTTACAAAAATATGCTACATTAACTCTCAAATGGTTGTAGATTTGTAATTAAAAAATAGAATTTTTTAAACAATTTTAGTAAAAAATTGAGCAATCAGAGGGTTAAATGTTAGGTTATGTTTAATAATAATGAGTACTGTACTTCAGTTTTATTCTCAGAGTGATGTAAATTCTTAAAAGAATGACATTAGTTGCACTGATAATTGCTTTAATTTATTCAATTCCCATTTACTCACAGGTCCTTAAATTTTTTCATTGATGATCGTTAAATGTTCTTAGTTTCTATGTGCAGAAATATATAAGAATCCTATTTAAGGTGTGTATGCTACATAGTGCTACAAGCATCCATACCTCCTTACCTTGGATTCAAATTTTTTTTTTTTTTTTTTTTTTTTTTTTTTAATCCAGTGATGGGCACTTGTCTATTCAGCTTTGGCCACTCTTAAGGCACATGGGGCCAAACACCCTAACCAGGGACTTCAGCTTAAATTGACCGATCACCCATATCCCACTGTGGCTGTGTTGCATGGGGTTGAATGTGATTTTGAAATAAAATTTCGTCTCTGTACATTCCATATCCACTTAAATCCATCAACTTGTGCTAACATCGTATTGTCAGGGGTTTAAAAATTAAGTTCAGTACTACCAGCCTCTAGAGAGTACTTTTAACTCAGCAGGTTTTAAATGTCCCACATGCCCTAAAGACATTAACAACATCCATGCTTTACCTGGAATGAAAATTTCATTAATTAAAATTGTTGTCATTAATCTAATCTATTATCTTACTTGTTTAAATATAAAAATTTCCTTATTTGTGTTTATTTGGAACCTTTATATCTTTTTTATTAAAGTTCTGTGAGTTATTTATAATGAATTCAGTTTTAGAAGTAATAATAAAAGTACTTATTTCGAAACATTAATATTGCAGTGGTAGAAAATTCACCGAGTTCTCAGAAGCTCAGAAAAAGTTTAAAAAAAAAAAGTGCAAATTTACAATACTATTAGAAAAGGATCCATCTCATTTAAGAAAACTAAGAATTTAGAAGTTTGAGGCAATGTTACCATATGGTAACAGTGAATATAACTAAGTTATAGGTGGTAGAAAAAATCTTTGTATCTTTCATTCCTGCATTCTTTTTATTTATTGGGTTCTTAAAAAAGTAATTTAAAATTTTATTACTCTAAAGAAAATTGGAGGAAAAAATGGATTCACAGAAAGGTCAGTTTAAAATGTTAATTTTTGGCTTCCACTTCATATAGACTGCCTCCATCTTTTAATGTGCTCTTTTTCTGTTATTGTAATACCTGCTGTACTTTTGCATTACTCAAAATATTCCAGCTTTCTTCTTTTTTAAAATGTGCTTCAGAATTAAATCTTATGTTGGTTATTGCTTTACTTATACAATTTTAAAATCAATATTCATAATTTAATCATTGCATTCAGTTTATTTCTATATTCTTTATGAAATTGAACTTCAATTTATAAAGTATATAAAAATGTAATGTGATTATAAATAGCTAAATTCATTTATTTGCTTAAATTATGATTTTTTTTAATCAAATAGCATTTGTTCAGAAGTCTCTTATACCATTATGTGCATTTTAGGTAATCTGGGAGGTGAACTGGAGCTTCAAAAAGAAAAAAATAAATTAATTTTAGGACTTTTCCTGCATGTCATTTATGGAAAAAATGGCACCCACCCTTTGTTTCCTCTGCTGCATTTTCCTGTTAAGTTTCCAGTTTTTCAAAATGCTGTTTTCACCGTTCCTGGGTGTTTAGCTTTTGAAGACCATGTTACGCAGGATCGCATATCAGTTACTCTTTTGCCTTCTACTAAATCTTCTGTTCTCACATCCAGAGGTAAAATTTAAGTCTGTATTTTTTAAAATATGCAATGTAATATTTGTGTATGTGTATATATATATGTTTTTTATAAATGGCAGATGATTTTAAAAATTTAATCATGGCTTAAAATGAATCAGACATTTAGTTGTTTTAGTTTAATTGGAATGTTTTTTATTTACCTATTTTTTTATTTTATAAGGCAGTCAAATTTGTAATGAAGGGGGGAGAAAAGACTTTAGAAAAGATTTTATTCGAAGTCACTCATGAGCAACTGCAAAAAAGGAGTAAAATCAAGTAAGTTCCAAAACAAACAAAAATAATTGGCATCAATAAAAGAATCACCGAAACAGAAATGGCATGAGTCATTGGCTTAAAATTTTACAGAAAAGGTTGGGGGGGGGAGAGAAACCAAATTCATAATTACTGGGCTCCAGTAATTATGCATATGCATATGCAGTGACTTCGAATTCAACCCAGTTTCATCATTTGAATTGTCAGAGTTCAGTATACCTATGTTCTTTTATCTATTAACAAGAAATAATTTATGAACATGAAAAGGGAAGATTTACTAAATGCTACTGAAAAGGAAAGAATAACTTAATGAAATGTAGGGAGGAATATGTGATATGCTCAAAGGCAGAGCATTAGAATAAAAGAAAAAAAAATCTGATGTGAACATCACATGACTTCCCTGTATGGCCTATTAAATTATTTTTACTATTAAAACATTTTTGTCACACTTTATTTAAACTTATTTCCTTGAATTATGCTAATTTAAATAACTGATCCTTCAAAGCAAGTTGAAAACGCCATAAAAAATTGCAAATTTTGTAATTAAATATCCTGGTCAATTTTTGTCATACAGGAGTCAAACTTCTTATAATTTTAATTTTTGATAAGGAGTATAAAACTTTCCAGAATATAACTATGAACCTTAAAGACTGCTTTAAAAGCTAAATTTCATTATTTGTCAAAAATTATTATTATTTAATCTGATGTTGCCAAAAAATGAATATTTTCATAATTTAAAACATTTTTTTTTAAAACTGAAGGTATATAACTGATGATTATGAAAATAAAGGCCGTATAAAGACTTTTAAGCTGGGTAAGGGGTGGGCAGATATATATAAATATATTTATTTTTGGTACCATTGATTGAAATATAAATATATTGTATTTTTGGTACCATTGATTGTTTGGTACCACTTTTGCAGTCCCACATACAAAAAAGTTCAACATTCTACAGCTAATTGTTGTTTAATTGTGTGAGATACATAGATACATATGTACATACAGATAGCATGAAAAAATCTCTTTTAAAAACCCCTTCCCCTATTTTAAATCCATTTTACAATCTATTTAGGAAGAAAGAGTCCTTTATTTTGTGTGTACTTGCAAATATCGTACAAAAATATTACCCAGATGGATTTGGGAATGGTCAAAACAGATATTTCTGTTGAAATAGGCTACATGAATTTTTCTGCTTTTAAAATGCTTCCTGTATTTCACACAGGGAAATAAGGAAGAACACATGACATTAAAAATTTATGCCTAATTTTATTCTCAGTTTATGTTTACATTGCCATTGCCTTCAAAAGCTTCACCACTGAATGCATGAGGTAGATATGTTTTATAGAAATCATTGTTAATGGGTACTGGTATGTTATTAATCGCTGACATCGTGGGGCTTTGAGATGAAGCATATTTTAAACAGCAGATAAGTGAAATAAATTCACAGGAAATAGAAATTCACAGGGAATAAGAAGAACAATGCATAAAAATTATGCTATTTTGTTTCAGTTTATGTTTACATTGCATGCTAAAAACTTCACCACTGAATGGTAAGAGGAGAGGTTCTTATTATGAATCATGTATAATGGGTACTGTATTTAATTAATCTGTTGGTGGCTTTTGATGATGAAGCATGCTTTTAACATCAGCAGATCAGTGAAATAAATTCAACTTCAAGGCACACATGGCAAGCACATCTGGCAATTATATTCAAAATCACATCAGATTGTTATTTTCTGCAAATTGTCTGTGTCTCCATTAGACCATTGTTAAATAAGAAGATAGGTAACTTTCTTCAACCCAGTTCCCAGTTCTTACTCTTATATTTTTGTTGGTTGCTATTGAAATTAATTTTTTTAAGTAAGGACTACAGTATTTTGCCACAAAGACTCTTAAAAGCAGCAAGCAAACTTTAAAGTATTCATTAAGAATATGCCACTAGAACAACACAAAAAAAAAAAAAAAAAAAAAAAAAAAAAAAAGCTTTTAAGTAAATTTATAGACTCATTTTGGGGAGATATGCGTAATTAAAATATAAACAATTTATGCAATAAAGAACTTTTTGCAGTTATAAGTCATATTCTTTTTCATTTGTAAAAAATCACTGAATTATATCAGAGTGGTAGTGCTGACGCATGGTAAAAATGTATCCTTCATTATTAATATACAGAAGATTTATCAGTAGGATTATATCAGAGATGTCACCTGACCATTTAAAGGTTAAGCAATTTATCTTTTAAGTTTTTATTATTTGTATTTTATATCTGTACATTT